ACTTCTCGATTGTGAAACTGTGATAGGGTCTGATATGGTATGTGCTTAGTTTTAACCAAGTCCCACTTCTGAATCCAAATCTTTCAACAGTGTTTGAACACAAAAACAGTATGAATAGACATGTTATAGCCTGTAGAAAACTATGGTCCAATACTGTACAGTATTTCCTATTTTATCCAGCTACTCAGTTTCTATCTTCCTCCAAGATACATCCCTAATTTAATCCAGAAAGATTTTACTTAACATGCCAGTCCTCTGAGTCTGTCACCACTTGTTCTTAGAGAACCTGTTTCCTCATGCCTAACCTCATCTTGCCCTATTCCTCCTTTTCTAATGCCATTATTCTTTTGATTTGTAGCAGTCATCTTTTTTCTGTTATTTATAGTTTTATAAAATAAGCATGCATCCCTAAATACTCTAGCTGAGTGTTTGTTACTTCTTTTTATATATGAGATCATGCAGTATGTATTATATTTTGTCAGATTTCTTTTGCTTACATTTGTGAGATTTATTTATGTTGAGTCTAGTTGTCATTTATTCATTTTCATTGCTATATATTATACCATTCTATGGTTGTATTATAATTTATTTATCCACTTTATTAAGGATATAATTTAGATGGTTTTAGTTCTTTGGCTATTACATAACTATGAATATTCCAATACATGTCTTTTGGTGTATGGTACATGCTGGTTGTATAATGTATGTATTCAACTTTCATAGACAAATTTCCAAAATCAAGGTTTATATCCTGGCTATGCTGCTTAAAATCTATATGACAAGAAAAATACAATTTAGATCTTTTGAAATAATCCTGTCAAGGGGAAAATAAAGAAATAATAGTAAAAAAGAATGAAGAAAGTCTACATGTGTTTTCATGAAAGTATTAAACTCACGAGTAGAGGTAAATTTACAAATCACACTTAGAATACTCCAATGATGTTATGGTGCTATGTAAATCTCTCAATCCTCTAGTATAAATGTTTAAAGTCAAAATAGTCAAAACGACAACAGCTACAATTAGTGGCTAAGGAATACAGAATAGATAAAGAAGTAAATTAGGGCAAGAAAAATATAAATTGGGAGAAAAGCAGAAAAAGTCTAGAATATTTTTATGTGACCAAAGTTAAGTTGACATTCAGCTAAAAGTAGTCAATACAACTATGGGACTCTTTATATTTGCTGCATGGTGAATTACAAAGAAAGAAATTACAGCAGACACACCGATAAGAAAAAGGGAACAAAGTTAAACACCACAGAAAACCACCAACAGAGAGGAAGCAACAAAAAATTAAGAAAGAAACAAAGAATCTATATAACAACCAAAGCAATTAATAAAATGGCAAGAGTCAGTCCTTACCTATCAACAGTAACCTTGAATGTAAATAAGTTAATTTTTTAAATTGAAAGATACATAGTGGCTAAATGAATAAAACTACAAGATCCAATGATGTGCTACCTATAAGAGACTCATTTCATGGTAAAGTCAAATATAGACTGAAATTGAAGGGCTGGAAAAAGATATTCCAAGCAAACAAAAACCTAAAGCAAACAGGAGTAGCCATGCTTATATATGATAGACTTGAAGCTAAAAAAAAAAAAAAAGGTAAAAAGGTCATTATATAATGATAAAAAGATCAATTCAACAAGAGTACATAATAATTATAAATACATATGCACCCAATCCTAGAGCACCCATATATATAAAGCAAATATTGTTAGACCCAAAGAGAGATGGACTGCAATACAATAATACTAGGGAACATCAACATCTCACTTTCAGCAATGGACACATTATTTAGAAAAAAAAAATCAACTCAGAAACATCAGACTTAAAGTGCACCATAGACCAAATGGGTCTAACTGATCTTTACAGAATATTCCATACAACATCTACAGAATACACATTTTCAACTGCATGTGGAACATTCTCCAGGATAGATCAGATGTTAGGTCACAGAACAAGTCTTGAAAAATTTAGGAAGATAGAGATCATATCAAATAGCTTTTCTGATCACAATAATGTGAAACTTGAAATTAACAACAAGAAAAACTCTGGAAACTTTACAGATACATGAAAGTTAAACGACATGTCCCTAAACAACCAATTGGTCAAAAAGAAATCAAAAGGAAAACTCAAAGATTTTTTGAGATAAATGAGAATGACAACACATTATACCCAAACCTATAGGACACAACAAAATGAGTTCTAATTGGGAAGTTTATAGTAATAAACACCTACATAAAAAAGAAGTGAAATTTCTAATAATCACCCCAAGGAACTAGACAAACAAGAACTAACTAAACCTAAAATTGGTATAAGGAAGAAAATAATAAAGTTCAGAGCAGAAATAAATGAAAAAGATATAAAAAAATTTAAAAAGAGGCTGGGCACAGTGGCTCACGGCTGTGATCCCAGCACTTTGGGAGTCTGAGTCAGGCAGATCACGAGGTCAGGAGATCGAGACCATTCTAGCTAACACGGTGGAACCCTGTCTCTACTAAAAATACAAAAAATTAGCTGAGTGTGGTGGTGGGCACCTGTAGTCCCAGCTACTAGGGAGGCTGAGGCAGGAGAATGGCGTGAACCCAGGAGGCAGAGCTTGCGGTGAGCCGAGATCGCACCACTGCACTCTAGCCTGGGTGACAGAGTGAGACTCTGTCTCAAAAAAAAAAAAAAAAAAAGAAAAGCCATAAAATGAAGTTGGGTTTTTGAAAATATAAACAAAAATGACAAACATTTAGCTAGACTAAGAAAAAAAAGAGAGAATACTGAAATAAATAAAACAGAGATTTTTTTATCTTAAGGAGACATTACTACTAATACCACAGAAATAGAAAGTATTATAAGACACTATTGTAAACAACTATATGCCAACAAATTTGATAAGATAGAAGAAATGGATAAATTCCAGGATGCATACAACCTACCAAGATCAAGTTATGAAGAAACAGAACATCTGAACAGACCAATTAAAAGTTGAATTGAAGAGAAAATTGAATCAGTAATCAAAAGTTTTCCATCAAATAAAAGCCTAGGACCTTATGTCTTCTTTGCTGAATTCTACCAAACATTTAATAAAGAACTAATGCCAATTCCTCTCAAACTGTTCCAGAAAAATTGAAGAGGAGGGAATACTTACAAACTCATTTTGCAAGGCTAGCATTACTTTGATTCTAAAACTAGACAAGTACACAATGAAAAAAGAAAACTATAAGCTGATATCCCTGATGAGCATTGATGCAAAGATTCATAACAAGATACCAGCAAACCAAATCAAAGAGCACATTAAAAAGATTATTCATTATGATGAAGTGGAATTCAGCCCAGGGATCCATGGATGGTTTATCAGACTCAGGTTAATAAATGTGACCACACTACATTAACAGAAAGAAAGAAAGAGAAACATGATACAATCATTTCAATAGGTGCAGAAAAAGAATGTGACAAAATTTCACATTCCTTCATGACAAAAACTCTCAACAAATTAGTATAGAAGATATGCACCTCAAGACAATAAAGGTTATATATAAAAAACTCATAGCTAACATCATACTGAATGGGGAAAATCTTCACATACAAATGGACCAATGGAACGGAAGAGAGAGTCTGGAAATAAACTTACTCACCAAAAGCCAACTGGTTTTTGGCACAGGTGAGAACACATATTGGAGAAAAGACAGTCTTCAATAAATGGTGCTGGGAAAATTGGATATTCGCATACAGAAGAATAAGACTAGATCCCTACCTCTCACTATACACAAAATCAACTCAAAATGGATTAGAGACTTATGTATGAAACCCCAAACTACAAAACTACTAGAAGTAAACGTAGGGGAAATGCCCCGTAACATTGGCCTATTGAGTTAAATGGACATGAGTTGGCAATTCCTGTAATTAAGGACAGATGGTGATATGAAACCATCTCAACCTACCTAAGGTTTCAGAACAAAAGGTGAAATCCTATATTTCACTGAAAATTAATTTTATATATCACTTTGGGTAATACGTCTTAAGTAACTTGTTTCTGAAGTAAACTTAGGATATGTGAGGGTTTTTCTATTCGGGGGTAAGAATGACTTTATAGAAATCTTGCTTTGAAGAAGTCTCTGATTAATGAATGACTGGAACCAAGAAACATAACAGTGATACTACTTATTGTTGGTGGTTGTTGGTAAAAACCATACTTAAAAAATTCTAAATGACCCAATGGATTTTTGTTTTTGTTGATAGTTGCCGTAAGAAAATCATATAGATGGATGGATAGAAAGATATATGATTAATAGATAGAGACATCTCCAACTCTTTTCCTCTGTCATCATTTTCTTGCTTTTCTTAAGCTTGCTCTTTCTTCTATAACTCTTCTGCCATTTCCTTGTTCAGATAATTTCCTTGGCTCACTTGGCCAATTGCTATAGTCTTCTTAATCAATCTCCCTGTCTCTTCTCTCTGCCTCTTTCAATCTACCTTGTATACATCTGCCATAATAGTCTTTCAAAAACAGAGTAATCATGTTACTTAAACAAAGTGTATATATATTTCCTAGTTTCAAGCGCCCAATTTTGGTATTGAAAACCTGATCAAACCCAGTTCTAACCTCCCTCTCTATCTTTAACTATCATCTCCTATCAGGAATTCCTTATCTTCTAAACAAACTGAAGTACTAATTACTATTTTCAAGAAATAACCTTTACCTTCTCACTGCTGTGCCTTTACTCAATTTTTACTATTGCCATAAAATATCCCACATTTAACACTCCAAATTTCACAGCAATATCTACTACCTCTGTACAGTCCACCCCAAGTCTCTGGAATTTTCTGGTCTCCTGAATATATTCCTGTCAGAAAATACAAGCTATATTTTATTACAAATATTTAATGCCTTCTCTTCTACATTTGATTATAATCTCCTTGAAAACAGTTCCCATTTTATTCTTCGTAGTACTTTATGACAGGTAAGAATTCAATGACTGTTTATTAAGTTGAGTTCTTTCAGCAGAAAAACACTGAAGAGGCACCAGATCATGCACTCCCAGAAAGCTCCACTTGCACTCCTTGAGGGCTCCACCTTCGATAGAAAAGGAGAAATGGCAGCTTTGCTCTTCTCTAGGCTGTGGAAAGTCTCCAATTCAACTCTGTTCCAAATGATGCTGGTCACTGTTTTGTTGGCTACCGTTCTTGGTAAGTAGTGGAGAGACAGGCCAGACAACCAGTCTACAACTGAGTTCATCACACACCCTATTTTAAGAGGTGTCTAAGAGATCTTTAACATTATGGGATATATTTGACCACCTGGAATTTGGGAAACATACTATAAACTAAAAAGAAAATCTTGTTTTATAGATGCTCCCTATGCTCCCTTTTAGAATTTTTCTCTCCAGGAAACTCTGAACAACTTAACATTGAAGCAATCATGACTTGTAATAAATTCGTATCATCTGCCAGGCTGACCATGAACTCTCACTGCCTGTGTGGTTATTTAGAATGTAGGGGAGGTCGGTATAATTCTTCTGGGGCATTTGGAAGGTCACTCAGTACTTTGTTTAATTCTTGCCAGGGAAGTAGAATTAAGATTTTATTTTTCAAGGGTTTAATGATTCTCCACCTTGTGATGCTTTTGAAAAATATTTTTATTTTTTAACAGGCCATTTATTCTAAACCTAAAAGGTCCAAAATGATACAAATGAAATGCCTCCTCATCCTTGACTGAGGCAACTAATCTTGCATAATGCTATTATTAGTAGAAAATATGTTTCTGCTAAGGCAGGAGGTAGAGTCACAGGGCATAGCATAGCTGCCTATATTCTGAGCAGACAGATGTGGGCAATCTGATAGAATGATGAAAATCAAGTCTATTCATTCACTTTCTAATAAATTCGCACTTATACAGTCAAAGACGGATGAAATTTTTCTGCCTTTACTCATTATCGTTGTCATTTTCATTACTCAACAAGCGTGTATTATTGATCACTTACTGCACTCATTGAACAATGACATAATAGGAGTTACGATGAAAGAGAAAATCATGGTCTCTGCTCTAGAAAACTTAGTACTCAGATATCGAGACATTGTGTCCCAAGATATAGCTGTTGATGTTCCTTGCCATTTTGTGTGTGTGTGCAGGTGACTGTGGTCCTCCACCCAAGTTACCATTTGCTTCTCCAATAAATCCGTTGTATGATACTGAATTCAAAACTGGAACTACTCTGAAATACACCTGCCACCCTGGATATGGTAAAATCAATTCAAGTCGACTGATTTGTGATACCAAAGGCTCATGGAACTATAGTATCTTTTGTGCAAGTAAGTATCAACACTTATTTTTCTCACCTTTACTTTTTTTCCCAGAAAGTTCTTTTAGGAACTTAATGAATTACTTAATTAATATGAAAATCTTTGATCAAAACAGTTCAAAATTAACATCACCTATAGTATTTGGAAGGAGTCGGTTGGGAATACACTTGGACATATTTTTCTAACAGTTAAAATATAGCATCTGCTTCCCTTTTCCTTCTGTTTCCCTGTGATGAAGGTCATATATTTTTGAGAGCATACATTTTTATGGACAACTGGTCAATAAACATATCTAGTATTATCACAGTGGTCTAACTGAGCAAATGAAACCAAGTGAAAATTTTTTTTTCTTCTTAAAATGTGTCAGAAAAATGAGATATATGTTTACATTTATTTTTTTCTCAAAGCATAGTCACTATCGGCATTAACCAACCACACCTAGCATTCCTACATATTTGCACCGACGCCTTCTTTAAAGCCATATTATTTATATGCTCTGGATCTATCATCCACAACCTTAATAATGAACAAGACAATAGGAAAATAGGAAGATTATTTAAAATAATACCCCTTACCTCAACTTCCCTAACCATCGGTAGTCTGGTACTCACAGGCATGCCTTTTCTTACAGGCTTCTACTCCATAGACCTTATTATCGAAACCGCAAACACGTCGTATACCAACGCCTGAGCCCTATCTATCACTCTGATTGCCACCTCCCTAAGAAGCGCCTACAGCACTCGAACCATCCTCCTCACCCTAACAGGACAATCCCGCTTCTCCATCCTAATTAATATCAACGAAAACATTCCCACCCTACTAAACCCAATCAAACGCCTCACAACCTGCAGCCTGCTCTCAGGATTCCTCATCACCAATAGCATCTCTCCCTCTTCACTCCCCCAAATAACAATATCACCCAACCTAAAACTCTCAGCCCTACATGTAACTGCTCTAGGATTCCTAGTAGCCCTAGACCTCACTCTTATAACCAATAAGCTTAAAATAAATATTCCACTCCACACATTCAAATTCTCCAATATATTAGGATTCTACCCATTACAATTCACCGAACACTTCCCTACCAAAACCTACTTATAAGTCAAAACCTAGCCTTCCTCTTACTAGATTCAATCTGATTAGAAAAATCTATACCCAAAACAACTTCACATACCCATATTACTACTTCAATCCTCACCGCCACTCAAAAAGGTATAATCAAATCCTGTTATCTCTCTTTCCTCATTCCCCTTACCCTAACCTTATTTTTAATCACATAGTCTATTACCCCGAGCAATCTCAATTACAATATATACACCAACAAATAGTGTTCAACCAGTAACTACTACCAATCAGCACCCATAGTCATATAAAGCACCTGCACCAATAGAATCCTCCTGAATTAACTCCGGCCCTTCTCCCTCAAAAACCACTCAACTCCCTATATTATTAAACTTAATCACCACCACCAACCCGTCAAAATCTAAAACTCATAATACCAACCCGACCTCCATCGCCAACCCTACTAAAACACTCCCTAAAACCTCAAACCCTGAACCCCATGCCTCAGGATACTCTTCAATAGCCATTGCTGTAGTGTAGCCAAAAACAACCATTATATCCCCCAAATAAATCAAAAACACTATTAAGCCCATATAAGTCCCCCCATAATTCAGGATAATAACACAGCCAACCACACCACTAACAATTAACGCCAAGCCCCCATAAACAGGAGAAGGCTTAGAAGAAAATCCTACAAACCCCATAACCAATAGCACACTCAACAAGAATAAAATATATGTCATTGCTTCCACATGGACTCTAACCATGACTAATGATATGAAAAACCGTCGTTGTATTTCAACTATAAAAACACTGATGATGGCAACACGCAAATCCAACTCCTTATAAAAATAATTTATCATTCCCTCATTGACCTACCCACTCCGTCCAATATTTCCGCATGATGAAACTTCGGCTCACTCCTTGCTACCTGTCTAATCCTACAAATCATCACAGGCTTATTCCTGGCAATACACTACTCGCCAGACACCTCCTCCACCTTCTCCTCAGTTGCACACATTACCCGAGACGTAAACTACGGCTGAACCCTCCGTTATCTCCACGCTAACGGTGCCTCTATATTCTTTATCTGCCTCTTCCCACATATCGGTTGAGGCCTATACTACGGCTCATTCCTCCTCCTAGAAACCTGAAATATCGGCATTATACTCCTACTTATAACTATAGCAACAGCCGTCATAGGCTACGTACTCCCATGGGGCCAAATATCATTCTGAGGTGCCACAGTAATCACAAACCTCCTGTCAGCCATCCCATACATTGGAACTGACCTTGTCCAATGGGTCTGAGGCGGATATTCAGTTGATAATCCCACCCTCACACGATTCTTTACCCTTCATTTTATCTTATCCTTCATTATTACAGCCCTTACAACCTTACATCTACTATTCCTTCACGAAACAGGATCAAACAATCCCTCTGGGATTTCCTCTCACTCCGACAAAATTACCTTTCACCCTTATTATACAATCAAAGATATCCTAGGCTTAATCCTCCTCCTCCTCGCCCTAATGATATTAGTACTATTTTCACCCGACCTACTAAGTGACCCAGACAACTATACTCCAGCTAATCCCCTAAACACTCCCCCCCACATCAAACTACAATGATACTATTTGCATACGCAATTCTAGGGTCCATCCCTAACAAACTAGGAGGTGTATTAGCACTTCTACTATCAATCCTCATCTTTGCATTTATCCCCATACTTCACAAATCCAAACAACAAAGCATAACATTCCGCCTACTCAGCCAATTCCTATATTGATTCCTAATCACAATTCTACTGACCCTTACTTGAATTGGAGGCCAACCAGTAAACCACCCCTTCATTATTATCAGACAAATAGCATCCATAATATACTTTATCACAGTCTGAACCTTTATACCACTTGCCTCCTTAACCGAAAACAATCTACTCAAATGAACCTACCCTTACAATATAAGCTAATACGCCGGTCTTGTAAACCGGATACGGAGACTTCTCCCCAGGACAACTCAGAGAGAAAGCACTCAATTTCACCATCAGCACCCAAAGCTAATATTCTAATTTAAACTACTCTCTGTATTCTATGGGGTGCACGTTTTAAGTTCGACTGAAGTACTAACTTATTTTACAACCTCTTATGTAATTCGTGCATTACTGCTAGCCAACACGAATATTACATAGTACTACAAATGCTTAACTGTACATCATACATATTTATGCACACTTACAAACTGTCCTTGCAAACATGCTTACAAGCAAGAATCCTCATGACTTAACCAACTGTAGAACATAACATCAACTACCAAAGATCAAGTTTTCCCCCAAGGATACCAACTAATACCAAAACTCAGTTATCGTACATAGTACATTACACCGTTCATCGAACATAGCACATATAAGTCAAATATATTCTCGTCACCACGGATACCCCCCTCAGTTAGTGGTTTCTTGTTCACCATCCTCCATGAAATCAATATCCTGTACAAGAGTGCTACTCTCCTCGCTCCGGACCCATAACACGTGGGGGTAGCTATAGTGAGCTGTATCCGGCATCTGGTTCTTACCTCAGGGCCATAAGACTAAGATCGCCCACACGTTCCCCTTAAATAAGCCATCTCGATGGATCACGGGTCTATCACCCTATTAACCAGTCACGGGAGCTCTCCATGCATTTGGTATCTTTTATCTCGGGTGTGCGCGTGACCCCATCGCAGAAAGCTGGCCCCGCCACACCGTATGTCGCAGGATCTGTCTTTGATTCCAGTACATACCATTATTGATCACACCTACGTTCAATATTCCAGCCTCGCATAACTACCAATAAGGTGTTAATTTAATTCATGCTTGTTGGACATAACAATAACCAATCCTATAGTATATTCATCCTAAACTATAAAACCACAACAAATTTTTACCTTTGTTCTCAAATCCCCCCTCCCCATCTCTTGCTTTTCCCCTATAAATATACCTTTGCCAAACCCCAAAAACAAAAGCCTCAATTCACCTAGCCAGAGCCTGCGTTCTCATCTTTTAGCTATGCACAATTTTAACTGCTACCCCTCATCTAACACAATCTCCATCTCATCCCACTACTTTCAACTTTAACTCCCTCTCTATTTTACCCCACCTACATACCTACCCACTACCAGACCCACACCCTTATTATCACAACCCTCAAAGACAGTACCTCACAACCATATATAATCCCCCAAAATTTAACAAAACCCGTTTATGTAGCTTAATCAACCTAAAGCAAGACTAATCAACCTAATCAACCTAAAGCAACCTGAAAATGCCTAGACGGATTCATACATCCTATAAACAGACAGGTTTGGTCCTAGCTTTCCTATTAACTCTTAGCAAGATTACACATGCAAGTATCCCCGCCCCAGTGAAAACACCCTCTAAATCACCACAATCAAAAGGAGTAAGTATCAAGCACGTATAACGCAGCTCAAAACACTTTGCTCAGCCACACCCCCACGGGAAACAGCAGTGACAAACCTTTAGCAATAAACGAAAGTTTAACTAAGCTATGCTGCACCCACGGTTGGTTAATTTCGTGCCAGACACTGCGGCCATACGATTAACCCAAGCTGATCGAAACCGGCGTAAAGAGTGTTTTAGATCTATTTTAATAAAGCTAAATTCCATCTAAGTTGTAAAAAACACCAGCTGACGTAAAATAAACTACGAAAGTGGCTTTAAAGCTTCTGAATATACAATAGCTAAGATCCAAACGGATTAGATACCCCACTATGCTTAGCCCTAAACCTCAATAGTTAGAACAACAAAACTACTCGCCAGAATACTACAAGCAACAGCTTGAAACTCAAAGGACTTGGCAGTGCTTCATATCCCTCTAGAGGAGCCTGTTCTATAATCGATAAACTCCGATTCACCTCACCACCTCTCGCCTAGTCTATATACCGCCATCCTCAGCAAACCCTAATAAAGGTTATAAAGTAAGCATAAGTGCCCCCGCAAAAACGTTAGGTCAAGGTGTAGCTTATGAGGTGGTAAGAAATGGGCTACATTTTCTACCCCAGAAAACCCCACAATAGCTCTTATGAAATCTAAGAGCCCAAGGAGGATTTAACAGTATATTAAGAGCAGAGTGCTTAATTGAATAAGGCCATAAAGCACGCACACACTGCCCGTCACCCTCCTCAAATATATTTAAGGATCAACTTAACTAAACACCCCTCATATCTATATAGAGGAGATAAGTCGTAACACGGTAAGTGTACTGGAAAGTGCACTTGGATAAACCAAGGCATAGCTTAATATAAAGCATCCGGCTTACACCCTGAAGACCTCAATATAATTTGATTGCCTTGAGCTAACGCTAGCCGCAAACCCAATCAATACTAATACCAAATAACTTCTACTAAACCATTCACTCGTACAAAAGTATAGGCGATAGAAATTTTATCCTGGTGCTATAGACACAGTGCCGTAAGGGAAAGATGAAAAAAGACCAACCAAGCACAAAACAGTAAGGACACACCCCTATACCTTCTGCATAATGAATTAACCAGAGACAACTTCGCAAAGAGAACTAGAGCCAAGTTCCTCGAAACCAGACAAGCTACCCAAAAACAGCTAAAAGAGCACACCCGTCTATGTGGTAAAATAGTGGGAAGATTTCTGGGTAGAGGTGACAAGCCTACCGAGCCCGGTGATAGCTGGTTATCCAAGATAGAATCTTGGTTCAACCTTAAGTTTACCTACAGAATCACTTAATCCCCTTGTAAACTTAACTGTTAGTCTAAAGAGGGACAGCTCTTTAGACACTAGAATAAAACCTTGTATAGAGAGTAAAAAAATCCAATTTCCATAGTTGGCCCAAAAGCAGCCATCAATTAAGAAAGCGTTCAAGCTCAACATCAAACACCTAAAAAATCCCAAACATACTACTGAACTCCTCGCATCACATTGGATTAATCCATTATTTCATAGAAGCAACAATGTTAGTATAAGTAACATGAAAATTTTCTCCACCGCATAAGCCTACATCAGACAAGAATTTCACTGATACTTAACAGTCCAATATTTACAAACACAAACAAAACTAATACTACTCACACTGTTAACCCAACACAGGCATGCTTCCAAGGAAAAGTTAAGAAAAGTAAAAGGAACTCGGCAAACTTAACCCCGCCTGTTTACCAAAACATCACCTCTAGCATTACCAGTATTAGAGGCACCGCCTGCCAAGTGACACGTGTTTAACGGCCGCGGTACCCTGACCGTGCAAAGGTAGCATAATCACTTGTTCCTTAAATAGGGACTTGTATGAATGGCACCACGAGGGTTCAACTGTCTCTTACTTTTAACCAGTGAAATTGACCTGCCCGTGAAGAGGCGGACATAAGATAATACGATAAGAAGACCCTATGGAGCTTTAATTTACTAATGCAATCTAAACCATACAAATCTGTGGACTTTAACTCACTACACCTGCATTAAAAATTTTGGTTGGGGTGACCTCGGAGCATAACTCAGCCTCCGAACAACCTATGCTAAGGCTACACCAGCCAAAGCGAATCAATGCCCGCAATTGATCCAATAACTTGACCAAGTGAACAAGTTACCCTAGGGATAACAGTGCAATCCTATTTTAGAGTCCATATCGACAATAGGGTTTACGACCTCGATGTTGGATCAGGACATCCTAATGGTGTAGCAGCTATCAAGGGTTCGTTTGTTCAACGATTAAAGTCCTAGGTGATCTGAATTCAGACCGGAGCAATCCAGGTCGGTTTCTATCTATTCTATATTTCTCCCTGTACCAAAGGATAAGAGAAATAGGGCCCACTTCATAAAGCGCCGTCTTTCCATAGAAAGAGAAAAAATGAGTCAGAATAAGAAATAAGCATTGAAAAATATCTCTAGGTCTATCTGGAAGCAGGAGTCAAAGTTAGTAAACCAGACTTTTTTTTTTTCCTTAATGTTCTATTTTGTGAGTAATTGGAATCATGAGTCATTATTTTAATTTCCTTCTAGAGAAACGATGCAGAAATCCAGAATTAATCAATGGGATAGTGGAAGTTAAGAAAGATCTTCTCCTTGGTTCAACCATAGAATTCAGCTGCTCAGAGGGGTGAGTATAAGGCAACCTAGAAGCAATAATTTCCTTTCATTAATTTTTATAAGGAGTTAACGCATTTATATGTTTCAAAAATAAAAGTGGCATAAAAAGATATACATCAATAATTCTCACTTCCACCCCATCCTCATTCATCCCATTTCTCTCTACCCTCTGACAGAAAATGACATTGATTAGTTTCAGATTTATCGCTTTAGTGTTTACTTCTATAAATACAAGTGAGTACAAGTATTTTTATCAACATTTTTCCTCCTTTATTATAACAGAAGATATCTGACTGCGTACATCGTTTTGAACCTTGCTTTTGTTTTTTTCACTTACAACATTGCTATGGACTGAATTTTTTTGATATTCCCTCAAAATTCATATCTGAATCCCCAGTGTGATGGTATTTGGAGATGGGGCCTTTGGGAGATAATTAGGTCATGGGAGCGGAGTCCTCATGTGGGGATTAGTGTCCTCATAAAAAGACTCGAGAGCTCTCTCTCTCTCTCTCTCTCTCCCTCTTTCTCTGCCATGCGAGGACACAGCAGGAAGTCAAACCATCTGCAAACCAGGAAGTGGGCCCTCACCAGAACCTAACTATGTTGGTACCCTGATCTCAGACTTCCTAGCTTCCAGCACTGTGAGAAATAAATTCCTGTTGTTTAAGGCATCCAGTCTATGATATTTTGTTAAAGCAACCAGAAACATCTAAGACAAATATGTACTAGAGATCTTTGACATTCATGCACCAAGTGTTTCCTCATTCTCTCTGTCTGTGTGTATATATGTGTTTACAGCTGCAAAGTTTTCTAACGCATGTATCATAGCTTATCATAGTTTATTTAATGATTCCTACTGATGGACTTTTGTGTGTTTCCAATCTTTTCCTGTTACATACAATGTCCTGATGCGTACTTTATATATATGTTATGTTATATGTATTAATATAGAGAGATGTTTGTAGGACAAATTCCCAGAAGTGGGATTGTTGGATTAAAGAGAAGATGCTTTGAAATTTTGCTAAATATTGCCAAATTGCTCTTTATAAACTGTAATATTTTGTAATATAAACAAATGCCTTTGTCTTTACCTCCGTGATTCACTATTTTATCAAACTTTTGAATTTTTGCCTATTAAAAAGAGAAAAAATTTCTGTATAGTATTTTTTAAGTTTTTTATTTTTTCAGACCTCTCAGGGATGAAAAACTTTTTATTTTGAGATAAGTGTAGGTTCACATGCAAATGTTAAAAAAATACAGAAAGAATCCATATCTTTCTCTAGATGGCCTTCACATTGTCTTGGCATCATTTATTAACAGATCTACACCTAACTCATATGAGAGAATATCTTTTAAAAATACATATTTAATTCTTCAGTGTATATTAGTCTTTTTTAGATGTCCTATTCAATGCTTTTAGTCTTTCTGTATATTCATGCAACCAGGTCCTTTCTCTTGAATTTTTAGTGTGCAATGTCACTTAGAGGTATCTGCCTGACTGTTCTATTTTTATAGTTTTCCTATGTTTGCTTGTTTATATTTCTATATGAACTTTTAAATTGGTTGAGTTTCACTTTTAATTGATTGTATTAAGCTTTTAAATGAACTTTAAGAGAATAGACATTTTATGATGTTGCATCTTGCCAGCCAAGACTTCCCATTTGTCCTAGTCGTCTGTGTGTGTGTGGCTGTGTGTGTGTGTTTCCGGACTGTTTTAAAGTTTTCCCCATTTACATTTTTCAATTCTTATGTTTAGTCTTTGCTATCTTATTTTATTTTTGTCTTATTTTTGAGATTGCAAATGGTGTCTTTTATTCCGTTATATCTCCTAACAATTTTTATTCATATATATGGAAACTACTTATTTCTATATATTAATCTCCTATCTCAGCTAATACCTTTAATTTCCTTATTACTTGTAATAGTCTATCAGTTGGTGATATGACTTGGATTTGTCCCCACCCAAATCTCATTTTGAATTGTAGCTCCCATAATTCCCACATGTGGTAGAAAGGACCCCATGGGAGATAACTGAATCTTGGAGTGGGGGCGGTTTCCCCCATATTGTTCTCATGGTGATGATTAAGTCTCACGAAATCTGATTATTTTATAAGGGGTTTCCCCTTTCACTTAGCACTCATTCTTTCTTGCCTGTTGCCATGTAAGACATGCCTTTTCCCTTCCACCAAGATTTTGAGGCTTCCTCAGCCATGTGGAATTGTCAGTCCATTAAACCTCTTTTTCTTTATAAACTACCCAGGCTCAGGTATGTCTTTATCAGCAGTGTGAAAACGGACTAATACAGTTGGATTTTCTTGGGATTTCCAGATATGTAATTATGTAATCTGAAAATAATGATTCTGTTATTTTCTCTTTTCCAATTTTTGTATTTCTAATTCCTTTTTCTTACGTACTTATGCTAGCAATTACCTCAAATAAAAAAGTGATACCAGTTATTGTTCTCTTATTCTTGGCTCTAGCAGAAATGACTAGCAAGCATTTTCTTCCTAAATTTAGTGGAGCTGTATCTCCACTGATTCCCATTATATTGAACATTTTTGGCCAAAACTAATTGTTGATTATTTTTCAAATGCCACTTTAGTGACTATTAAGATGATGATTTATTTTTCTTAATAGATTTATTAATATCATGTATATATTAGTCTGCTCAGGCTGTCATAACAAAATACCAAAATCCCATGGACTACGACAGTTCTGGAGTCTAGAAGTCTCAGAACAAGGTCCCGCAGGGTTTGGTTCCTGTTGAGGGCTCCCCACCTGGGTTGCAGATGACTGGTTGTCCTCTCACTGTGTCCACACATGACCTTTCCCTGGTGTCAGCATGAGGGCGCAGGGACTGCAAGTGGGAGATCTTTGTGGTGTTTTTTCTTATAAGGACTTTAATCTTATTGGATCAGGGCCCCACCCTTCTGAACATTAATTACTTCCTTATGCAAATATAGCCACACAAAGGGATTAGGGCTTCCACATACAAATTTTGAGTAGGTACATTCAGTCTATAACAAGGTATTCTGTATTAATATATTTCCTAATTTTGAAGAATCCTTTTATTCTTGAAATAAAACTGTACTATTTGGTCATTGTATAATTTTCTTTTAAAGTGTTCCTGGACTGTGTTTGATAATATTTTATTCAGGAGCTTATTATTGATATTCAGAGTAAATTCTTTTTTAAAAGGCAAAAAGCCCTAGAAGAAAGACTGGGACTTGTCAAGAGCAAGAACAATGAGATGATAATCAGGAAGTTAGGAACCTAAGAGTTCCTACGAAACTCTCAGGTTTATGAGAGTAAACCAAGCTCTAGAAGCCAGAAGAAAGATTCAAATTAGAGGTCAGAGTACTAGTACACATCAGTAATGTGTCTTGCTCCTTTATTTAAAGGAAACTACATGACAAACTCGAGTGAACCACTTACTTGTTTTGAGCTGCTTGATTTATAGCTTGTTAGGGAGAGTGTAAGATTTAAGCCAAGTCCTCAGATTTTAGGTGTAAAGCTTGTTCTGTTCTATTTTTATTCATTGCAGATGGGTACCATGTGATACAAAGAAAAAACTTAAGTTGCTTAGACAAGCTAGAGCATTTTAAAATTGAACAAATAAACCCTTTGCTTGATATGAGAAAATGTAACTGCAAGCTGGCCTAAATGGTCATTAGTAATCAAGAAAGCATTATTTGTTCATTTCAAAATATTTAATAAAAATTTGTTTCTTTTTTTCTTTAACAGGAGGAAATTACAGTGTTTATTGGTGCAACATACATGTGGGAGAGCTTGGTGATGAGTAACTCAAAGGGGGTGATTCGAATTTGGGGCTTATATACCATTTTAGTAGGTGATGGGAGAAAGGCACTTATGGGAAGCAAATGACTCTTTAGAAAGATAAATACATTTTCAGGAGAACAAACAGGAGATAAGAAAGTTCGCAAAAATATATATTTTTACAATTTTTATTTTAGGTTCGGGGTACATCTGCAGGTTTGTTATATAGGCAAACTCATGTCGTGGGGATTTGGCGTGCAGATTATTACATCACACATGTACTAAGCATAGTACTCAATATTTATTTTTTTCTGATTTGTCCAAAACCTCATAGATAATTTATGTCTAGAGTAAATGAATTCCACTAAAATCTTTGACCTACCTTATTTAGGTTTTTCTTAATTGGCTCAACCACCAGTCGTTGTCAGATCCAAGGTAAAGGAGTTGACTGGAGTGATCCTCTCCCAGAATGTGTAAGTAAGTAAAACTTTTTTTTCTGACCTGACTACAAACCTAAACTACTTTAGGGAATAACACTACTGTGAAATTTCACTGCTTCTTTTATCCTCCATTATAATTTGCATGAATTTTGGATTTAACACAATGCCTACCCTGAGTATTTCTTTCTCTTCATTCACTCACCTCAGTTGCCAAGTGCGAGCCCCCTCCAGACATCAGGAATGGGAAACACAGCGGTGGAGATCGAGAATTCTACACATATGCCTCCTCTGTCACTTACACCTGCAACCCCTACTTCTCACTCATAGGCAATGCTTCCATCTCCTGCACGGTGGAGAATAAAACAATAGGTGTCTGGAGCCCAAACCCTCCTATCTGTGAAAGTAAGTCAGAATGATAAGTTCTGCTTTGATCTCTTTTATTTGTTTAAAAGCAAAAGGAAGGCGTATTTATTAGGGAAGATGGAATGATTAAAAGAGAAACTAATCATTGCAATGATGGAGTCATTCATTTATTCAACTAATCTTGTCGCATGCTGTATCAGTCAGAATAGCATAGGGTGAGCTGCAGTAGTAATCAACACCTAAATCTCAAGGCCTTTATATAGTAAATGTTTTTTTCAAGTTTCTTCTTAGTGTACTGCTAGCCTGGGAAACTCCCTAGGGCAGCTGTCACTTATATGGTAATCCAGATTGTTTAGATCTTTGACACCTCCATGTCAAAACTTCCACAATTAGTTCAGCGGGAGAAGAGAAAAAGGAAAGTCAGTCTCAGGCTCTTCAGTTCTTTGACCTGCAAGTGACACGTATCACTTGTCATTACAGCCTTTTGGCCAGAACTAGTTCCTTGGTTCTGCATAATGCAGAGTAACTGCGAAACATTGTCTTTTGTTTATCTTACAATAACTGGAAATATGGGTGGACACTAATAATGTCAACCATGCATGCCTAAGGAGCAAACAAAACAACACCAACACCAGCAGGTAATAAAGGTAATACAAGACAATGAAAGAAAGTACTTTCCCTTGGCCTCTCTATGGAAGCCAGAAGAGATGTTTTGTCAATATCAGTAATGATTCAGCTTGCTGGTTTAGGACATTATTCTTTACTGCAATTAAAGTGCCTAAAACCATAGTATCACATATTGTTTTGACTCAGTACAGGACACAGCCAATGCCGGGGCGAGAGAGAACATAATAGTGAAAAGACTGCAAGAAGTGGAAAAGGCAGGAGCTGAGGCTGGATAAGTTAGTAGGGGCCAGGTTATGAAAGCCTTGTGTGTCACTTTCAGGAGTTTGGAATGAAGGAAAAGGGAAGACATTAAAAGGACAATGTGAAGTGAGACAAAACATAACTGATAGGCACCTGTTGCAACCTTTCAGCCAGGAAATGAAGGTGGCTTCAACTGTAGCCATAGCAGTAACCCTGGAGGGAAGTTGAGGAAGTATAGAGGAATTAAGGTGGCAGGATTGACAGGACGTGATGACTAACATGTGGGGTGAAGGCAACTTGTTCTCTGCTTATGGAGGCGCACCACAGATTTCCCGATGCCCTGGCTGCCTCTGCATGACACCATATCATTACCATGGGTCACTGACCCCCAACCAAAATCATCCAGGAAATAAGGCCATTTAATGGAAGGATTTGGAGACATTGAGATTTGGACTTCAGGGTTTAGATATTGCTCATTGTTATCGATGAGAAAGCTGGAGGACTTTACATGACCAACATGATGGGACCTCATTTTGCTGAGGTTTCTGGCAACTTGAAGTATACAAATCTCCAAAATGTTTTCTTTGTTCAGTACCTATTAAATATATGCTTGTGTTAGACCTTCCTTGAAGCAATGCCAACAGTTACAGTCACATCTTTACTGCCATTTCTCTCTGATAACTCAGATGTCTTTTTGTATGCTTCTTTAGAAATTGTCTGTCGTCGACCACAGATTCCAAAGGCAATCTTTGTTTCTGGATTTGGACCCCTCTATACTTACAAAGACTCTATTGTGGTTAACTGTGAGGAAGGTTATAGCCTCCGAGGCAGCAGTTTAATCTATTGTGAAGCGAATAATGAGTGGTATCCTTCTGTTCCCTCTTGCGTATCCAGTGAGTATGGACTACGATGGAGTTCCAATATTTGGATCTAAAATTATCCTGACATATAGGTGTGGCATGCTCATGGGCACAAGCCAACTCAACTCCCAATAATCATTTTAAGATAAATTATTACTTTTCTTGTTAAAAGGAAGATTTCTTTTTTGTTAATGATATCTTAGTGCTATTGGAAGAATTTCATATAAATCATATAGTCATGAGACCAACGACTTCATAGATATTGTAGACTTATATATTTGCTGTAAAAATTTTCCGGGAGACAATAGTAAAGTGTTTCAGTCTAACAAAATCAACATATTAAGATAATTTTTTGAACAATGGAAGTAAGATTCCTTTAAGGCAGTTCTTTTTTATAATTTGCATAGAAATGCTCTATGGGCCAATATTGGTCTTGAGACCCTGATGTTGTAAATACATACAGATCATTTATAACATTAATGATTTATTGCTAACATTTATTGAGCATTTTCTATGTGACAAACACTGTTCTAAGTGCTTTACATCAATTAGCTCATTCAATATTTGTAACTATTCTAAGAAGTTGCTATTTTTTATCCAATTTTAATGATGAGAAAACTGAAAAAGAAAGATTAAGTAACTGGCACTAGCTCACATAGCTAATTGGAGGTGGAAGCCACCACCACATTGTGGTTTATCTAGTCTCTTCTGCTATCACATGAACTTAGGTGCCATCCAAAATGTGTAGTGATGAAATTCAATAAATATACAGTTTGACAGACACATATCCTCTCCTTGATCCACACGGACCTTTAGTATATTGTTGAATAGAAAAAAAAAAAATACAAGATGAAAGGCCCAGCTGCAAAAGTTACATGGGGCTTGGTTTGAAGCCAAAGCATGAAGTTGCAGATGATAGGGTCATGATGTCAAGAAGAATCCCTCTTATTGTAATTCCCCATTAGGCAACGAGATTAGAAAGTCAGTCTCACCCTGGAGCAAATTTTTGCTGTGTCTTTCTGTGATCCTAATGCTTCCCCTGAAGACCAACCATTCTAAAGTGCAGTGATGTGAAAGGAAAACTAAGCTCCTACAGAGTTGGCCCAGCACCTAGAAACTGTCCCCTTCCTGCACCATGGCATGCTTCTCCGTACAACCTCTCCAGTGGCACATTATTAGACACAGTGCATTTAGTAGACACATGCACTTAATAGACGCTAGTCTATCGGGCAACGGTGCTGCCGAGTCTTTTTCTGAAATTCTCATTTAATCTTTACCGTCTCATTTTTTGCTGAATGAGTATATGATATCACTATTTTGTGACAGGCTCCTGAGTCACTCTGCCATTCCCAGTAACACGTTTCTTTCACCCTTGTGCTTTCTTTATGAGTGGATGCTTGTACCGACCTACCGGACATTTCCTATGCTTCCTGGGAGAGAAATGACTACAACCTAAGTGATCACGAAATATTTGAAATTGGAACTGAGTTGAAATATCTATGCAAACCTGGCTATAGACCTGTTTTAGATGAGCCTCTGACTGTGACTTGTCAGGAAAATTTGACATGGACATCTTCCAACGAGTGTGAGAGTAAGTAGACTTGAACTTTGTGTGGTGTGTATGTGTGTGTATCTTCTTTGCTATTGAAAATGTTGAGCACAGTCCTTGAAATTTGCTGAGACTTGCTTCACTCCATAGCATGTAGTTAATTTTTATAACTGTTCTGTGTGCACTTGAAAAGATGCATATTTTGCAGTTGTTGGGTGCAATGTTATATATACATCAATTAGATCTAATTTTAATGGTTTCGTTCAAATCTATTCCCGTATCTATATTTATTTCTTGTCTGCTTGTTCTCTCGGTTACTAAGAAAGTTTTGTTTGTCTTTTGTCTTTTCAGAGTTTTTATTTATTTGTTTGCTTGTTTGCTTGTTTTGAGACAGGGTCTTGCTCTGTCACCTAGGCTGGAATGCAGTGGCACGATCTCGGCTCGATGCAGCCTCAACTTTCCGGGCTCATGCCATCCTCCTGACTCAGTAGCGGGGTCTACAAGTGTACACTACCACACCTGGCTCATTTTTGTATTTTTTGTAAAGATGGGGCTTTCCCGTGTTGTCCAGACTGCTCTCAAACTCCTGGACTCAAGAAATTCACTCACCTTGGCCTCCCAAAGTGCTGAGATTACTGGTGTGAGCCACCACACCTGGCCATCTTTTTTGTTTTTTCAAATCATTTTTTGCTTTGTGTATTTTGAGACTACATTGCTAGATGCATACAAATTTAGAATGATATATTTGCCTGATAAATTTCACTTTTTATCATTATAAAATGACTCTATTACTATAACTATTTTATCTTTAAAATTCTACTTTTACATTAATATAATTCTGACAACTTTGAGTTAGTGTGTACATGGTTTATCTTCTTTTAGTCTTTTGTTTTTACAATTTCTGTAATTATATATATTTTTAAGTGTATCTTGGAAGCAAGATAGAGTTGGATATTTTAATCCTACTTGACAATTTTCATTATTTAATTAGAGCACTCGTCAGTTTACAGTTAGTGTAATTATTAATATATTTGAATTTATATCTAGTATCTATCTGCTACATACTTTTGTTTTACATTCTTTTTTTCCATTCTTTGAATTGATTTAAAATTTTTTTTTCCATTTTTTACCTGGTATTTACTTGGCATTTATTTACTTTTAGCTCTTTTTATGATGTTTACACATAATTTACTACTTTTGCCTCTTCCCAGGCAATGAAAAGCCGTAGAAACCTTTAACTTGATTTATCCTGCCTGACTTAATATGATTTTATTTTTGTGTATTTCAATTATAAATGTGTCTTAAACTCTGCATTATTATCATTATTACTATTGCTATTATTATTTTAGTAAATCCAATTAGTTTAGATTTGTTCACATAATTACTATTTTATTCTCTTCTGATTCTTCAGTCATATCTATTGTCCCTTTCTTTTGCCTCATAAATACTCTTTAGTTTCCTTTAGTGAGAACCTGTTGACAACAAATTTCTCTCTTTGTTTTTCCTCAATGCGCCATTATTTCGCCTTAATATTTGAAAATATATTTGCTGGATATAAAATTCTAGAGGCAATTATTTTGCGTGGCCATGTGAAAGATTTCATTCCATTGTCTTCTGCCTTTATTTGTTTCTGTCAAGAATTTTGCTATTAGTCGTACTGTTGATCATGTGAAGGTTATCTATTTTTTCTGATTGCTTTTAAGATGTTCTTGTCTTTATTTTTTCGCAGTTTTTGTCAGATATGCCTGGGTTGGTTTCTTTGTGTTTAGCTTGCTTGAGATTTAGAATATTTCTAGAATATGAGGTTTGATGCCTTTCATTGATTCTGGAAAAATTTTCAACTTCAAATACTTCAATATTACAAATAAGTATTTTCTTAGAGTACAATTTTAGCCCTATTTTCACTCTTCTACTGACACTTTGGCTACATTTATGTTAAGCTCTTATACTGAATCTTCTATATTTCCTGTGTTCTTATCGGTGTTTTTACTTTTTGTTTCTCAGTATTTTATTATGAATATAAATTACGTTCACTAATTCTTCCTTCATTGATGTATTATCTGATATTAATTATTAATTGAATTCTTAACTTTATTATTTTTTCAGTTTCAAGGTTCCCACTTGTAGTGGATTTGTAGTATTGATATTCATTTTTCTACCAAAATTCTCAATGTTGTATTTTATTTCCTTCTACATAACAAAACAAAGTGGCTTTTAAATCAATGTTTAGAACTTCATTTTCTGGATCCTCTCAGATCTGTTAGCATTGTCTCTTGCTTTCTTTGGCTTTTAATAACCTTGTCTGGTCTCCTGTTTGCTTGTGGCAGGTAGTAAGAGGCATTAAGGGCTTTGAATGACCCGAATCCAATCAGGGAATGTAACGATACAAGCCTGGGTTTCAGTACTTATTACAGATAGTTGGTCCTTTTTTGGTTTGTTCTTACTTCAAGGTGTAGTTCTAAAGATTCCCAAGAGCTGCGGGTCACCAGCAATCACACACATTGAGTTCTGATCAGCTTCTTAGCCACTCAGTTGTATTTTGGGGGAGGAGAATTATTGTGTATATTTATATAGTATTATATATGTAATATATATTACAATTTATAATACAATATATAAAATTATATATTACAATTATATATTACAATTTCAACAGAGAAATATAGATATAATATTATATATTAGTATTTCTGTTGAAATACCAAGGAATATTATACATATATAGTGTTTGTATGTGTGTGTATATGTATATCTCTACATTCCTGGCATACCTCGTTGGGTATCTTTCTTTCTCATTTAAAGAACTAAGACAATTAAGGTCTTAGCACCTGAATTCTTCACGGATTAACCGCCCCCTTCCCACTATGTTTTTCTACTTGTTAACAAAGAGAAGGTGAATCTAAATTCTTAGCTCATCACTGCCAAAATCAACACTTCATTTTAAGGACTTCTAATGAAGAAACACAGTTGGAAGGAAATTAAGTAATAGCATTTCAACCAAACAATGGCAGAATTTGGAGAAGATATTTGGTCTAACTCTTCTCTCAACTTCTTTGTTTCTTTCTTTCTCTTTCTCTCTTTAAATTATGGCAAAAGCACTTAACATGAGATCTACCCTTTCAACAAGTTTTTCAGTATACAATATAATACTGTTAATTATAGGCACTATTTGTAGAGCAGATTTCTAGAACTTATTAATCTTGCACAACTGAAACTTTATACCTGTTGAACAAGTGGAGAGTTGTTTCCCCTCCCTTCTCCAGCCTCTCGCACCCACCGTTCTACTCTCCACTTCTATGAGTCTGTCTTCAGATATTAACATCTTCAATGAGGTGGAATCAGGTCTTCAGCCAAAGGTGTGTCCCCGTGATTGATTTACTAAACGTGAACATCATTTAAAAAAATTTTTTTAAATGTTTGTGGGTACATAGTAGGTGTATTTATTTATGGGGTACCTGAGATATTTTGATACAGATATGTAATGTTGAACATTTTTTAATCCATCAGGGGTATGTTGCCCAACACCAGATCTGGAGAATATCAGAATCATAAATGAAAGGAGGTATTTCACTGGTAGATGTGTCTATGCCTATGGAGACAATATTTCATATATGTGTGATGAAGGCTATTATCCTGTTTCTGTTGATGGGGAGAGTTCATGCCACACAGATGGCACATGGAAGCCTAAAATGCCAGCATGTGAACCAGGTAAGAATATTGAGATAACTTGTAGTAATTATTTCCTAGTTTCCTCAAATGATTCCACTTGGTTCCACAAAAGATCAAAGTACTTAAAACTAACTGAATTTGAGGTTGTTCCTCCAAGAAGCATTGTGCAAAGATATTCACAGATACACACCACTAGCACCATGCAAGGCAGCTATAGAACAAAATATGTTGGAAGACAAACTTATAGGAGAAATTTTCTCGTAAGAGAAAAAAGTAGGATTGATGAAATCATTCAGTCTCATTTTGTCATTTTTCTTGCATGTATGCTGATGTTTTAGTAAAGAGGGACACTACCTCACAAAGCTCCATATTTATAAGTCAAGGCAGAAAACATGATTTACATATTGTGTAACAATGCAATGGAAGCTCCAGGTTGAAGAAGTGATCTGTTAGGGAGAGCCTTGAAGCCTAGTGGCTGACAGAGTCAGCCTTTTCTTTCCTTGCTTTGACTCAGACCTACTGAACCACCTCTCTGTTGAAATACCAAGGAGAAGAAATAAGCATCTAGGTGATAAACATCTGTCTCTAATCAGGATAAGACATTGAAAATGTCATTATTATGGAAGTATCTTCATTATGAAAGACTCTTCACATCAACATGATGGTGATTACTCGGTACTATAGTTTGGGTTTCTCTAAAAGCAAAACTTGAGAAAAATGACTTGGGAGCCAGTAGTTTATTTTGGAGGTGATTCTAGGAGGTAGGAGCGAGGGTTGAGAGAGAGACAAGGGGAATAAGCAAAGGTGACTATTATAAGCAGCAGGGGCTCAATTCTTTGGGACCACAGAGAAGTGTAAGGAATGCCTTTCTTAATTATCTGTCTGAAGGATGGGAGACTGGGACATTTATCCAATACTTTCTGTTGCTCATTGGTTTAGGGTTGAAAGGGCAGTAACTGCTTCAGTAATTTAGTCAGTAACTGAGCCTCAATTGCAACTGTGCTCTTTCAGCTGCAGAAGAGGCTCCAAAGTAAGACTGACAGATTCACGTTGAATGCTTTCTGTAGAACATCATCAGCATAAGTCTGAGCTTGTGTAAAACTATATATTTAATCTGCAACTGTAGTCAGAAGTCCAAAGGGACATAGCATGGGTACAAAACATTTGTTACCATATATCCGTCGCACCACTCGATTTATTTATGTTCCATTAATTAAACTCTATTAATCTTAAGTAATCTACTGCTAACAAGTGTTATATAAGGAAATAACAGACATTGTGTCTTGAAATAATCAAAGAAAGCTTCATGGAGAAGTAGGACTTGAGATAACAATTAGAGAAGGTAAGCAAATTCTAATAAGGAGGAGTCCCAGGAGGAAATGTTAATATATAGAAGTGGAAATGTACATGACAAGTTTAGGGAAGGAGGAGTTGACTAGTTTGGTTAAACAGAAAAAGTGCTAGATAGGGCCGAGTGTGGATGCTCATGCCTGTAATCCCGGCACTTTGGGAAGCTGAGGTGTGCGGATCACCTGAGGTCAGGGATTCGAGACCAGCTTGGCCAACGTGGTGAAACCCCGTTTCTACTAAAAATACAAAAATTAGCTGGGTGTGGTGGCACACACTGGTAATCCCAGCTATTTGGGAGTCTGAGGCACGAGAACCGCTTTAACTCAGGAGGCAGAGGTTGCAGTGAGCTGAGATCACGCCACTTCACTCCAGCCTGGGTGGCAGAGTGAGACTCCATCTCAAAAGAAAAAACAAAAAGTGCTAGATGAATTTGAAGGATCTATGAAAAAGAAAGGCCAATAGAGGTATTTTTATTTTTTCAAATGTCCATGGTTTGTTAAAGGCGCTGATTATTTTATTTTTAGAAAATAGAGCATTTTAAAATCCCTGACACTTAGTTTTAATCTTAGGAGGCAATCATTCTTCAACACAGGATTTCCTTTGACATTCTCAGGGCTCTAAATTTGTTGCAATTTTTCATACAAGAGTTCCTGAAACTTGAACGTTCCCTTCTAGTGTGACTACCCCAGCATTTCATATTACTTATGTCAACACTGAAATCATTGTTTAAATTGTAAAATATGCTAATTATGTTCTGATGGTGTTGTAGTTATGGATAAGATTGTTTGGGGATCCTGCAGTTATTCAGAGCCTTTACAACTATTCACAGATAAATATTTCCTTTACTTAGCCTGACTTCTATTGAGATTGATTTTCATTTAATATGACTCTGTGGTTGAATTCATGCTTTCATACCAAAGCTCATTTAACTTCCCTAAGCAGTGAAATATTTTAGTGATCATGTAAACAAAAACCAAGAAAGATCCTATAAAATGGAGGATTCTCTCAACAAAAGAGTTGTTTTCATTCACATCAAGCTTTTCTCTAGGTTCTCAGGTGGAAAGCAGTATAAATGTTGAGTTGTGTCAAGTTACCTTATGGAAAAAGGATTTGGATGGGAACATTTGAATCTCCTACAGATCACTCAGATTTGGGGAGATTAATTTGAAACTATGAGTTCATGCTCTTCTGTCTCTCTCATCATTCAAGTTTGCAGTTACCCTCCCAGTATTGCCCATGGACACTACAAGGAAGTTATTTTAATAACTTCTTATCCTGAGGCTACATACGAATGTGATGAAGGATATGTTTTGGCTGGATTTGCTACAATCTACTGCAAGTCTTTTCACTGGCAACATGCACCTCCTCAATGTAAAGGTAACTCCAAATCAACTCATAATCCATTGAAGAGAGAATTAGAAAATATTAATAGCAATGTTTCCTATTAATCAAAGGCAGCATAAATTTTGTCTTTATTTATTTATTCATACTATTTAAATTATGCCTGATATATTTTAAAAAGTAAATGACAGGTACATTGAAAATGAACTTTTCTTCCTATTCTAGTCTTCCAAAATCATAGCTTGCCCTATGTTCAGAGAGAACCACTACTACAAGGTTCTTATGTATCTTTCCAGAATATGTTGAGACAATATCTTTTACCTGAGGATACCTTTGTGACTCTAGTTTTCATGAGAATCCTGAGTTAATTTCAACTACTCAAGAAAGAGGAATCTCAAGTGTTAATTCCCAAATTATGACGTGTTGGAAATCTCCACAAAAACTTCATGATGGTTACCATTTCCCCACGATCTTTACATTTCTACTTTTGATGACCTGATGGTGGTGCTGTTGGTAAACCTGCTGTAGAAACAAGACGAATCAAGTAAGGCTCTATCTCTTGATTGTGCTTGGAGCTTTCATCATTCTGCTAATAATTACCACTGGCTCCATTTAACCCAGGAAGATTATGAGGCAAGAACAATGGAAATAAAACATCAGGAATCACACAAATCAAGGCTGTGGGATGGAGCAATTGAGAGCACCAATTCTTACCACTTACAAGCTATTTGATACTGAGGAAATATTTAACTTTTCAGTTTCCTTGTTGGTAAAATTGTCGTAATAATAGTATCTAACTCATAGATTGGTAGTGAGGATTAAATGAGATAAGTAAAAAATTTAGCACATAGACTGACATATAGTACTTGTTCAATAAATGCTAATAATTACTGTTATAATTATCATTAAAATAAAAGCATAGAACAACCTGCAGGACCAGAATATAATTATGAATACAATGTCTTATCCATTTTATTATCCAATACTGATATGATGACTTTTTTTTAGAAACAGTATGTTCAAAAATATGTTTCCATTACAGCTCTGTGTCTGAAACCAGAAATAGTGAATGGAAGGCTGTCTGTGGATAAGGATCAGTATGTTGAGCCTGAAAATGTCACTATCGAATGTGATTCTGGCTATGGTGTGATCGGTCCCAAAAGTATCACTTGCTCAGAGACGAGAACCTGGTACCCAGAAGTGCCCAGGTGTGAGTGGGTAAGTGGCACAATTCAAGGAAGTTCTGTGCTACTAATCCCTAAAAATAGTGGCTTCTCCCAAGGTTCTGTCCCAGTTAGCAATGCGGAGATCTGACTTTTGTCGGGAAGCATAAGTAACTTACCACAATTAGCACTTCCAAACTGGCATGGTGATAAGCCTAGAGAGACACATTTTCCTGCTGTGTGTCTAGAGCCGAAATCTCTAGACTTGAGAGTCTGTTGATCCAGATGTCCTGACCCCTCGCTCTACATTATCTACAATAAAGGTTGTGCATTTGTTCCATTTCTGGTTGGTCCTCAGAACCATCCCTCAGTTGTCCTCAGTGGATGTGCTTTGCATCTGCTTTGGAGCCCAGCATCTTTTTAGCTTCAACCTGCTTGGTTGCTGCTCAAGGAAAGATCTGAGCTTGGCTTGCATGTGAACACTTGCTAGGATGCACTGTCTCTCCTGATTTCCTCTTTGTTCCTCAGGTCAGTCTCCCTTTTGCCAGTAATGACTCTCAAAATGTACTCCCATCCCCTACTCATTTCTTAATCACTTTTAGGAGGCACCTGAAGGTTGTGAGCAAGTGCTCACAGGCAGAAAACTCATGCAGTGTCTCCCAAGCCCAGAGGATGTGAAAGTGGCCCTGGAGGTGTATAAGCTGTCTCTGGAGATTAAACAACTTGAAAAAGAGAGAGACAAATTGATGAACACCCATCAGAAATTATCTGAAAAAGAGGAAATGAAGGACTTATTTTTCCCTTCAAATCAACATACAGAATCTTCATTCATCAATTCTACTCTTCCTTAAGCAACATCACTCTAATAAGTGTTTGGGCTGGAGAACTTTCTTACTACTGCTAGAGAAAATGTGTAATTATCGGTAATCTAGCCTTTTGTAGCTCAAATGTCTACTTTCCTGGACTTGAAGTGCTGGTTAATTAAATAATTATTTATCAAATATCAGTTTGTGTTGTCATCTTGGTCAATATGTCGCATAAATACGACACACTCCTGTACACAAATCCACTGCCTAAAGTTTGTGTAATTAACTTTGCCTCACTTTTTTTGTACCTCAGAAAGAATGGAAGCCAGGGAATTCAAACCATGTTCATACTGTAATCTTTACCTGAATGCCTTTACTCTGAATCCCGCATGTGCCTACCATTTACCTACAGAAAAGGATACAAAACTCAAAGGATTTTCTGCAACATTACAGACAAAACCATTGTCTGTTTGATGGCCCCTGTCCATTAGTAACTCATCGCTTTACCCCTGCACAGAATTCCACTCTTCTCACTTTTAACAGCACTTTAAACAGATTGGGCTTGCATGTTGCTCAACTTTATAGAAATGGAATCATCCATTATGCATTCTTTCACACGTTATTTTTTCCTTTAAATATTGTATTTGTGAGATTCATCCATGTTATACATAGTTGAGGTTCATTTATTTTCATTTCTATTTAGTATTCCACCAGTGTATGAATATATCACAATTAACTTATCTTGATGAACACTTGGGTTATGTTTAGTTTTTTGGCTATCATGAATAGTGCTACTACGAATAATTTTGTAAATGTCTTTTGCTGAACATTGACATTTTTTTCTCCGCATATACCTGAGGATGGGATTGCTGGCTTATAAGGTGTGTGCATGTGTTTGTTCAGTTTTCCAAAGCTGTTATACCAAACCACACTCCTGCAGAACATGGAACACTTGCTATTGTTAATGGTTCTTTTTTGTTTTTTGAGAAACTCTGTTGGGTATCACATTGTGCTTTAAATTTGTTGTTCCCCAGTGATTAGTGAGGCTGAATTACTTTTCATATGTTTGTTGACCATTTAGATATTCCTTTACCGCAAACTGCTAGTTCAAGTCATTTACTCATTTTTCTATTGGATGATTTACCTAGCTCTAATTTAGTTGTAGGAGTTTTTAGTATACTCTGGACAAAAGTCCTTTGTTAGATATGTATTGCAAATATTTTTTTCCTGATCTATGGCCTGCCTTTTTTTACTTTCATAAAGTTCTCCTAAAGTGTGTTGTATAAACATAAATTCCTAATTTTAATGTAGTACAGTATATCAAGTGCTTCCCTTTTGATTAGCATTTTGTATCCCATTTAAGAAATCTATGCCTACCCGCAAATCTTTGCCCATGTTTTCTTTTAAGGTATTTTAAATTTTACTTTCACACTTAGAACTATGATCCACCAATAACTGCTATGATGTAAGGTAAAGGACCAAGATTCATTTTTTTCCATATGGATATACAATTAATCTGGTATACTTTATTTTAAAAAAACCATCCTTTCTCCTACTGCTCTGTAGTGTCACTTTGTCATAAGCCAATTAGCTATGCATATTTGGCATTTGTTCCTACTCACAGTTGTTAACCCTTGGTCTATGTGACTATCTTACACCAACACCACAATGTCTTCTTTACTACAGCTTCATAATGAGCCTTGATATCTGGCAATGTGGGTCCTTCTCCTATTCCTCTTCCATCTCCTCTTTAGGTTACATTGACAATTCTGCTCCTTTGCACTTAAACGAATTTTAAAATCAGCTTGTCAATTTTCACCAAAATTCTTTTGAAATTTTTATTAGAATGCATTTTATCTATGTATGAATTTGGGAGGAATTTATATCTATACAACATTGTGCCTTCTAATCCATAAACATGGTATTTTCCTACATTTATTTATATCTCTTATTTATCTCTAGCTTTCAGTGAAGAGCTCTTATACATCTCTCATTGAACTTTCCTCTGGTATTTTAAATTGTACATTTATAAAAACATCTTTTTTATATAATTTTTGGATAGTAGATAATTGTTTTTAATTGATATTTTATTTCATAATTAGTCAATTCTAATTAATTTTTGATATATGTCTTTGGCTTTTTAAAGTTCCTAATTATGTCACCTGTGAGAAATAACAGTTTGCCTTCCTTCCAACTCCTACCATTTATCCATCTATCTATCTATCTATCTATCTATCTATCTATCTATCTATCTATCTATCTATCTATCTTTCTATCTATCTATCTCTCTATCTGCCTGCCTGCCTATCTATTTACTCAACTGACATTCTATTCCCATGAATGGGACCTGCAATTCAATGTACTATGGAAGCAATTGTTCACATCTTCTTATTGGTCTCAAGAGAAAAACTTTTAATGGCTCACTATTATGTAGTATGTCTATTGCATACCACCCTGAACATGCTCGGTCTTGTCTGATTGAGAAAATTTCTTTTCATTCCTAATTTTCTAAGAGGTTTCCATTTTTATCATAAATTGTTGTTGAATTTTATCAAGTACATTTTCTGCATCTAGTGAAGTTATCAAAAATATTTTTTCTGTTAATGTAGAGGATGCTGTAATGCTATTTGTTGCTGCATAATAAACTACCCCAAAACTTACTTAATGGCTTAAAATGGTAACATTTACTTTGTTCATAAATCTGCAGTCTGGGCAGAACTTTGTGGAGGATGACTTTGCTCTACTGAGCATCAGTAGAGGTGTCTCACAGACTGGGAGCTGAAATCATCTAAAGATTTGCTTACTCACATGTTTGCTATCTGAGTTGGGAAGACTTAACAAGCTGAGGGCTAGAACAGCTGGGACTCCTCAGACATCTCTTTATGTGTGCCCTTTGGTTTACTAGTCTGACCACTTTAGAATAGCTCCAACTATCAATTATGATTTTAGGAAATATATAGTATCCTGGTTGGGTACAGTATCCCACGCCTGTAATCCCAGCACTTTGGGAGGCCAAGGTGGGTGGATCACTTGAGGCCAGGAACTTCAAGACGAACTTGGCCAACATGGTGAAACCCCATCTCTACTACAAATACAAAAATTAGCTAGGGATGGTGGTGCATGCCTGTAATCCTAGCTACTCGGGAGACTGAGGCATGAGACTCGCTTGAACTTGGGAGGTAGAAGTTGCAGTGAGCTGAGATTGCGCAACTGCATTCCAGCCTGGGTGACACAGCAAGACTCTGTCTGAAAAGAAAAGAAAAGAAAATATACCACATCCTATAGTTCTATACTCCAAGTTCATAAGGCATTCTTTCTTAGCTTCTTGAGCATTCAGTAGACCATTGCCCTCTTTCATAATGTCAGCTGCTTCTGTGACGGGATACCACATAGGACGAGTGAATCTCAGGAGCATCATTTCATTGACTTATATTATTTCATCATCAAGTGAATTCCTTGATCAGAAGCAATAATGTAGGTCCTCCCATAACAGGTAATAAAGCATTTAGTAAGTCCACAGATGGTATGGCTGCAAGAAGCCTTGCCACAGGGATGATAAATCCAAATCCATTCAATAATTTATTGCAGCAGAGGTAAATCACTGTACCCTCCGTAATGAGAACTCAGATGATTGGCTGACATCCATCTAATATGGTACCAAGATGGATGTTGGTAGATATAAATGCCAGCTTTCTTAATCCACAGGTAGGCAATCTCTGAGGCATGTTCTACACTCTACCTAAGGTTCCTTAAGGGGTTTAGCTTCAGTTCCCCACAAAGGTAACTTGCTCACCAATGTAAACATTTATCTTCTTCTCTCCCATTTTTACATCCTTATCCCTTTAATGGTGTATTCTAGGATCTCATAAATTTCATAAAGTTCTTCTCAAGGACTGCATCTTGGTAGGCTGAGGCAAATTCTTTTGGATTCACATATTTTGTTCATTCAATAGGGGTTGATATGGTTTGGCTGTGTCCCCACCCAAATCTCATCTTGAATTGTAGCTCCCATAGTTCCCATGTGTTGTGGGAGGGACCTGGTGGGAGATAATTGAATCATAGGAGTGGTTCCCCCATACTGTTCTCGTGGCAGTAAATAAGTCTCACGAGAGCTGATAGTTTTATAAGGGGAAACCCCTTTTGTTTGATTTTCATTTCTCTCTTGCCTGCCACCATGTAAGGTGTGCCTTTCACCTTCTGCCATGATTGTGAGGCCTCCCCAGCCACATGGAACTGGGAGTCCATTAAATCTCTTTTTCTTTGTAAATTACCCAATCTCTGCTATATATTTATCAGCACCATGAAAATGGACTGATACAGGTGTGTTAATATGATTATTTCATGGTTAGTTGAGCTGCAAGAGTAAGGTTTTATACCTCATCATTGTCAACCCAATTTCTGCTTTTCTTGTCCTTTATTTAAGACAATAAATTCCTGTTTTTTGCACTTTATTTTTTGCCATTGCTGCACGAGCTTAAAATTTCTGTATTGGAAATATCATAGAGACCATTCCAATTCCAAACTCTTCTTTAAACATATGTGGAGATGAAGGCCTGGGTCACAGTCTCATGACTAAGCCACATGATTCTTGGTAGGTTACATGAGGATTTGGTCTCCTGATAAAATGGGCAGTTCAGAGTCTTTTCCACCATAGTAAAAGCAGAAAGTCCTTAGGCATACTCTTCTAAGTGATAGGCACAGAGTGCCACACAAAAAAGCTTGGTCTGATTCATTAAATGCAATTAGTTTGACATAGTGAAAAGAGCTTGGGATTTGAATCAGACTTGGGTTCAGAATCTGATTTTGCCACTGATGAGAAAGATTTAGAAAAGTATACCCAGTCTTTCTGAATAAGTTTCCTCTATAAAATATGTCTACTAATATCCATGTTATAGGTTTGCTTTAAGAAATTAAATGCAATAATTTATGTAAAAGTTTGGAACATGTTTAACAAACAGAAGCTATTTCTTAAAAACAATATTCTACTTAACTATTTAAATGACCTTTTTTAATCTACATAGTCAGATTTTATTTTAGTTCCTGTTTATCAAATGAACCAAACCACATGATGGGTTTATTCGCTTTCCTTTCTTTCTAGGGAGGTTGGAATTCAGTTGTGCTGTCAGCAATATTACAGAGGACTCCACCCATTTATTTCTGGGAAGTGTTCCTCTTTATTTTTGAGAGTTAAGCACTTTGG